ACTATGTACAGAAGTATGATAGGCAGCCTATTGTACTTAACAGCCAGTCGACCAGATATTATGGTAAGTGTTGGTCTGTGTGCACGCTATCAAGCCGATCCAAAAGAGTCACACCTATAGGCGGTAAAGCGTATTATAAAATACGTTAAAGGTACTATAAATTATGGTATTTGGTACTCGAACGATACTAATCTGAATCTTGCAGGATACAGTGATGCTGACTGGGCAGGAAATGCTGACAACAGAAAAAGTACATCAGGCGGATGTTTCTTTATCGGAAAAAATCTAGTCGCCTGGCTCAGTAAAAAGCAGAACTCGATTTCACTTAGCACAGCTGAAGCTGAGTATATAGCGGCGGGTAGTTGTTGTACACAATTACTCTGGATGCGCCAGATGTTAACTGACTATGGTATAGAACAACAAAGTATGACATTGTTCTGTGACAACACCAGTGCAATCAACATCTCAAAAAATCCAGTTCAGCACTCTAGGACGAAACACATAGACATCCGACACCACTTTATTCGTGAGCTAGTCGAAGAAAAAGAAATTATCTTGGAATATACTCCAACAGATAAAAATCTTGCAGATCTATTCACCAAGCCGTTAGACAAATCGAGATTTGAACTGCTCAGAGCTGCCCTTGGTGTTTGCAATCCTACAGCTTAATCATCAACAACGGTACAACAAATAATCTTTAATTATTTTTTAACGTAGTTGTTGTTTTTTTTTTTATGTTTGCAGGAAAATTCTAAAACTCTCCAACTTAGTTTTAATTCTTCTCGCCCATATACCTTTTTTTTTTTTTTTTCTTAATTCGGCTCGGCTACCTTATTTATATATATATATTAATTCCACCATTACATAATATGTATTGAAATATTAATTTCAAACAACTTCCACCTCTCTCTCCTAATATGACTCTACTACTACCCCTACAAACTAGTCACATCACTCATCCCATCCATCACAACTTTTGAGAAGCTCATTAATTAAAGAACCTTATTGTCTTTCTTGCACTTACATGCCAAACCCACATCATTCATCTTCAACTTTACCACTCTCAAACATTGAACCTTCAACAATGGAAGACGACAATCCCTTCGCCATTTTCACAACCAAATCCGAAAGATTGGAGCTTTTTCGACACATCATCAACGCTGAATCTCCGCTTACATCTGATGATACGGATCGAGTTCTTGCAACGGTCAAGCAACATGCAGGCCTTCTTGAAGGACTCTCGGACAGGGAAGTCAAACAGATCCAAGCACTGGCTAGGTTCATATCTGTGGAGCCGTGGACTTTTCCGGCCGAATAAACCAAACCGCCTCCGCCACAATCTGAGTTGAAGCTCTCATCCCCGGAAACCATGATAGTCTCTTCTCCCTTAGATGAATCAGTTTCCGCTTCTAGAAAACTAGATTTTAACATCTCTTTGCCAAGTCAGTTTGTGCCCACCTCAAGTGAATTGTGTGCCCCTTCCATTCCTTTACAAGGTGATCCGTATGAGTCTTCTTCACATTACCTGAAAATCTTGTGCCTTTATCTGATGTAATGCATGCTGTGTCATCTCCCTTCACCATTCGAAATATTAATCAATATGTGTCTCCCATGGCGTGTGCTGCATTTTCTATTCCCATAACCATTCCAGTTTCGAAATCAGCAGAGGTCCCCATCCCTGTGCCCACCTCACATGATTCTGTTCCCATTATCTCTGTGCCCGTGGGCAAATCTTCCCGAAAAGGGAAAGAAAAAATTACTGTTTCAGGTACAGCCGAGAAAAGAAAAATTGGAGCATTGGAGGATGTTGTCTACTTGTCTAATTCCAAACAATCAAAAAGATGGTCCACATTGCCACCCAAAATGACAAGATCCAGATCAGTTTCAGGCCTAGTACCAAGTCCAGCCCCTGCACCTGCAACTGCTACTGCCCGCTCTGGCTCAAAGATGAAACAACCCAAGAAGAAATATCATCCTATTTTGCTGTCTCCAGATTTGATGTCTGACTGGAATGTTCATGCTACTAGGGATTTTATTCTGGAAAAATCCATCAATGTGGAGGAATTGACAGAAAAATGCAACATTGTGCCTATTTTGCGAGATCAATACCTGCTTGCCTCACTTGTTCATATTGGTCCGTACTCCAGATGGCTCACTGCCGAGTTCTACACAAATTTAACATTGGATACATTTTCGGAGGGGTCACCGCGATTTCAACAAGTCTTTATTCGGGATAAATGGTATCCCTTAAGCCCGGCAGCAATTAATTCCTATTTGGGTACTCCAAATCATCAAGCTGCTCCTGACCCGAGTCCTAATCTCCTAGCCGCTGCTTTAACTCACAATAAGATCGTCACTTGGCCAAACACCGGACTTGAAAGCTTAAAACTCACCACGGTCTACTCTGTTCTGTTACGGCTTGCTTCAACAAGTTGGATGCCGGCTGTGCGTCATCATCTTGTGTCTGACTAGCTTGCTGCCCTTCTCTACAAGATCAGGAACCGGCTCCCACTCAATCTTGGAGAAATCATCTTTGGCCATCTTGCTCAATTTGTGCGACACAGGGAACCTAAGGTACACCATTGATGGCTTCTCAACAAATAACCATTGATGGCTTAGAACAATTGTTGAGTGCTCAGTTGGAAGAAATCGCCAGAATGGAGGCTATCTATGCTTGGATTCGATCTAACCCTGGCACTGGCACTGGTTCTATTTCTGAGAGTGATGAATCTGAGTCGGGCACCCCGTCTGCAAGTTAATCCAATCCACTAGAATGATGTTCACCGGTTTGTTTGTCATTTATTTGGCATAAACAAAGGGGGAGTATTGGAGAAAAGGGGAGTATTTTGGAATGTTTGGATATTTGGTAAGTTTTTGGTTTTTGGAATATTTTGGTATGGATGTTAATCCTGGTTCGGATGGTATATTAATAATTTGGGACTATATAAATTATTTTTGGGATGACTATGAATGAATTAAATATGAAAGTATGAATGTATTGGTATATTTGGTATGTTGACTGCATGGTATGAATTGGGTTTATTTGGAACGCATTTGAAGAAAGGAAAGCACCAAGTTAGGGGAAGTAATTCATTGGAAAGCGTGACATATATGGTATGTTTGACACAACACTTTTTTCGTGCATGATTCACTATTTATTAATTGGATGAAGTTTGTGAGTCAACATCAACCAAGGTCAAAATAAAATTCCACCCACAAATAAGCTTTGGTCTGGTATTAAGAGAATTTAATTTCACATTTATATGTTCAGTACGTATACTATGGGATGTTAATAAAATATTTTTACCTTTTCCCAAAGTATAATGATACTATTGTTTTACCAAATAAATTGCCAAAGGGGGAGATTGTAAGTGTACAAAATAGTACACATTAGATTGGCTAATTTATTAGTTTATTTTATTAATATGTCATGTTAATTAGCATGAATTGTAATTAGTATTTTGGACCAAGCTAAAATGTGTGGTGGAGATTTATTATTAATGAATTGGACAAAGAAGCAAGTCTGAAGATTTCAAATTAAAGAATGAGTGGTTGAGAAGAATTCAAGCCACATATGAAGCTACAATCAAGGCTTGGTGGAATGGAATTCACGTACAGTATATAAGGAAGGGAAATCGAAAGAGGAAGTTGTCAATTCTGAAATTCTAATCTCATTTGCAAGCTTCCTACATTACTGCTTTAATATTGATTATATTAATTGTGATTTAAACCTGTACTACAAACCAGTACCTGTGACAGCTGAAGTGCTACACCAAAGATGGTTATGGCATGCACGGTTCAGTCCTGAGTAGGTGTTTTAGAAGAGTTGTAGTGGTAAAGGCTGTGAGCCGTGTAGTTACCTCTTGTAATACTCTGTGGTGAACATCTAGTGGATTGGGCAGACGTGGGTTGCCCCGCAGACGTAGGAGAAGGAGCTCCGAACTGCGTAACAATTCTACTGTGTCTTTACTTTATTTACGCTTTCAATTTCGTTATTTATATGTTGATTAAATTGGTTAATTAAACAGCGAAATTGTCTCGTAATATAAAATCAAGTAGAATCCTTAGTGTTAAATTGATTTCAAGATACACGGGCTTTTTCACTTTATATGAAATTAATATATTGAATTTATAAACTTGTAGTATTGCTTTCATGTAGCTTCTATTGGCTTATTAGTAAGCTCTATACACGACTATCTGAACAAGTTAGTAGAAAGTTAAAAATTAAAAAACTAGTAGTCAATAAGTTAACAAGTTACTCTATATAGAGTAAATATTACTTTTTTGGTCTCTTGACTATCATAACTAAAGCACTTTTGGTCTTTGACTATTTTGCTTTTTCCAATTTAGGTGCATGACTTTCTAATTAGTATCACTTTTGATCATTTGATCCAATTTTCGGCCACATATTACCGGAATTTCAACCGAAAAAATATTGTGTTGTAATTAGAATGGTAGTTTGATCCTTACGAATTTATTTCATTTTTCTCTTTTAATTTTTTCATCTTCCTCAACTTTATCATCACACCTTCTTCCAAGTTATCTAATCCAAATGTCAAATAGTTACTAAAACATGCTAACCCACTTATGGTTTTAAAATTCTGGTTAAAAATTATAATTAGAACTTGTCAAATACTTCTAGAAGAAGAAGAATTCAATTACATAACTACAAAATCTGGTAGAATCACTGTGACATTTTCGTGCATAAAAATATAAAAGAGGAAAATGAAATAAATTTGAAAGGACCAAAATACCCTTCTAATTGCAACACAATATTTTTTTGGTTGGAATTCTGGTGTGGTCGAAAAATTGGATCAGAGGACCAGAAGTGATACTAGTTAGAAAGTCATGCACTTAAATTAAAAAAAGCAATAGTCAAGAACGAAAAGTGCTTCTATTATGATAGTCAAGGGACCAAAAGTGATATTTACTCATCTGTATATTATAATCAATATCAAAACTTATAGTTCTAAATTAGTTTGCTTCGGATGTAATGGCAGGTACATTGGAGTTGGACAAAATGATGAAATTCAACTTTTCTATTATTTCATAAAGTCGGCTTCAAATCCACAAAATGACCCTCTCATTCTTTGGATTACGGGAGGCCGCACATGCTCAGCCTAGAGTTCAATCTTTCAATTAATTGGTATACATACTATATAATATTTCGTATACCTTTTTTTAAATAACTAGAAAGATTCATAATAATTATATCTGATGGTGTATATAAATAGGCAAATTATGCTGTGCATCCGTATGCACCATGCATGGTGCATACGGATACAAAAACGACGTCGTTTTAATAAAACGCGCGTCTCCCCTTAAAAAAAAAAAAATCAGGTTCGATACCCAGCAATAACATATGAACTAAAATTCCATAATCGATGAACTATAATTCCATAATCGATGAAATATAATTCCATAATCTAATCTATGAACTAAAAATTCCAGAATGAATAAACTAAAATTCCATAATCTATAAACTAAAATTTCAGAATCGATGAACTACAATTCCATAATCGATGAACTATAATTCCATAATCAATGAACTATATTTCCATAATCTATGAACTAAAATTTCAGAAGGAATGAACAATATAATGTTGTTGCTGGGAATCGAACCTGAATTTTTTTTTAAGGGGAGACGCGCGTTTTTTAATTAAACGACGTCGTTTTGGCATCCGTATGCACCATGCATGGTGCATACGGATACACAGCATAACGATTGATATAAGTATGTCTTGTTTTTGTGTAATTGTAACAAACATTACAGCGGAAAGCGTGAAATGTGTTAAACAATTTTATTAACTTCAATTACTAATTAATTACTACTATAATTAATCAGGCCAAATTATGCTGGGCCATTGCTTATAGAACCAGTGGAGTATAATGGGAGTTTGCCCAGGTTGCTACCATTTCCCTATTCATGGACAAAGGTGAATACATAATTCTTAGGAAAAATTGTAATTTATGCCCCTCACAAATATGTCAATTATCAATGTTACCTATGAATTATTAGTGGTGTAAATGTTGCCCCTCAATTTTCAAAACGTGACATATATTACCCTTCCCCTGAATTATTAGTGGTGTAAATGTTGCCCCTCAATTTTCAAAACGTGACATATATTACCCCTCCCCTGTAAATGTGGTTACACATCGTCTTTCTTGTTCAAATACCACATTTTTTTCCTCAATTTTTCTTTCTTCGCTTGTTCTCCTTCCATCGACAATAATTTTTCTCCTTCTTCATATTAGGAGAGGGGCAATATATGTCACGTTTTAAAAATTGAGGGGCTACATTTACACCACTGATAATTCAGGAGTGACATTGATAATTGACATATTTGTGAGGGGCATAAATTACAATTTTTCCTTATTCTTATATGGCTATATGTTGTGTGCTTGGGCAAAGTACATATATAAGTCAGAGACTTGATGTTTTCTGTGGCAATAAATGTTTAGGTTGCTAGCATTATTTTCTTGGAAGAGACTTGATGTTTCATGTGGGCAAAGTACATGTATAAGTCAGAGACTTGATGTTTTATGTGGCAATAAATGTTTAGGTTGCTAGCATTATTTTCTTGGAAGAGACTTGATGTTTCATGTGGCAATAAATGTTTAGGTTGCTAGCATTATTTTCTTGGATTTGCCAGCTGGAACTGGATTTTCATATGCTACAACTTCAGAGAGTCTTCAAATGGATGATTTGTTAGCATCTAGTAATGCATATGAATTTCTTCAAAAGGTAACTCAATTGGTCCCAATTTACTTAATGAAAAATTGTAATTTATACCCTTCTATAATATGTCAATTATCAATATTACCTCTGAATTATTGGTCGTGTAATTAATGTTGCCACTCAATTTTCAAAACGGCACATATAGTGTCCTCCCGTAGTACAAATTTTACGCCTCATTTTATGAAACGGTACATATATTGCCCCTCCCGTGCGGTACGAGAAGGGCAATATATGTCCGTTTTAAAAATTGAGGAGCAACATTTTTAACACTAATAATTTTGGAGTAAAATTAATAATTGTCATATTATTTTTGTTTGAACAAATAATTGGCATATTATTGAGTGTCATAAATTACAATTTTTCCTTAATTGGTATTGTCTTAAACTAATTTTAACATAAGTGGTTTTTACCTATATTGCATGATATGGCGTTGTATGCTAATTGTTATAGTGGCTAATTGATTATCCGGAATTCCTATCAAATCCTTTTTATGTTGGCGGTCACTCATATGAGGGCACTACAGTTCCAATAATTACCGAAATGATATCAAATGGTAAGTTATGTTGTTTTATTTCCATTGTGTGCGAGTTTATATATATATATATATATATATATATATATATATATATATATATATATATATATATATAGTTTCCCGTACGGTCATGCAGATATATTAAAATCGTAAGATGCGAAATCAATGAATAAGAGAAATTACGCGGTGTTATCACAAAAAAAAAAAAAAAATTATGCGGTGGTAATATTGTAATTTCTTGCACCATGTATATTTCGATGGTGCATTACGTGCTAGTGTGTGGTGGATTTTTAAGTGACTAATGGTGCATTGATTTGTATTACACAACTCAACGAGGGTGTCAAACCCGTCGACGGGTTATATAGACCCGTCAACGAGGTGTGTTACGTGCTAGTGTGGGGTGCATTTTTGAGTGTTGTGTGGTGCATTTTCAAGCGATACATGGTGCATTGAGATTGTCCCGCGCCTTTGGATGCAAATGATCGGACGATGCAGATTAGGCCACACGACCACATGGCAGATGAAGACCGCATTTCTATATATATATATATATATATATATATATATATATATATATAGGGTTGAGTTCAAATGAGGACAACAATATATAGAGGACTGTGAGGACAAATAATGGGCACACAACAAATTTATACCAGGCACACAACTTAATACATAATGGCACACAAGAATAAATATAAACATCAGGTTTCGAACTCAGGCTCTATAAATTAACAAATCTAGCGCGCGACATACAAACTGTGGCACACGACTACATTCGGTCATGCACACGACATACCTGCTAATGGCACACACTACATCTGTCCTCACAGTCCTCTATAATATACTTGTCCTCATTTGAATACACACACACACACACACACACACACACACACACACATATATATATATATATATGTTATATATATATATATATATGTGTGTGTGTGTGTGTGTGTGTGTGTGTGTGTGTGTGTGTAGAAATGCACCACACACTAGCACGTAATACATCTCGTTGACGGGTCTATTGAACCTGTCCACGTGTTTGATACCCCCGTTGAGTGGTGTAGGTATAGTACCAACCAATGCACTATTAATCACTAAAAAATTCACCACACACTAGCACCCCATAACGAGTCTATTGAATCTGTCGACGGGTTTGACACCCCCATTGAGTGGTGTAATACAAATCAGTGCACCATTAATCACTCAAAAATGCACCACAAAGTAATTAAAAATGCACCACACACAAGCACATAATACACCGTCAAAATATACATGGTGCAAGAAATTATGAAATTGCGACTGCCTAATTTCTCTTCTTCATTGATTTTCAGTCATTTGATCTCAGCTCATCCAGTGAAGTAATATAATCTGTGATTAATGAAGCTAGAGAGATTACACAGGTTTATATAGCTAACCTAAGCACCACAATAGGTGGAGCAGTACAAGACTTTAGCTGAAGAAACTAACAACTTAAAACAAACTTATTTTATCAACTTTAACCATAAATAGCTGCACCAATACTCCCCCTCAAGCTGGCGGGGACAAGGAACGACGTCCAGCTTGCAACGTAACTCATCGAACCGAGCAGCGAATAACGGCTTAGTGAAGATGTCAGCCAACTAGTCGTGTGTCAAGACGAAGTTAACCTTGAGTGCACCGGTGGCTACTTTGTCGCGAAAAAAATGGTAGTCGACTTCGATGTGCTTCGTCCGTGCCTGAAACACCGGATTTGAACACAAGTGGGTTGCTCCTAAGTTATCACACCAAAGAACAGGCACCGTTTTTGGCAATAACCCGAGCTCGCCTAGTAGAGATTGTATCCACGTTACCTCTACAGCAACGTCAGCCAGGGCCTTGTATTCGGCTTCGGTAGAAGAACGTGCAACCGTGCGTTGCTTCCTAGATACCCAAGATAGCAAATTGGGTCCCAGAAACACCGCATATCCCCCAATTGAACGCCTGTCGATAGAGCAGCCGACCCAATCCAAGTCCGAAAAAGCATGTAGCACCGGAGTAGCCGAGGGGGCTAGACGAAGGCCAAGATCTAGAGTACCCTTGACATACCACAGGACCCTTTTTAACGCCGCCCAGTGTTCATGCGTCGGAATGTGCATGAATTGACACAGTCTGTTGACAGCAAAGACCAGGTCCGGACGGGTGATTAACAGGTACATAAGTGAACAACAAGTTGACGGTACGACGTCGGATCATCTAGCGCTGGCGAGGTCATGTGCTGAGTAGCCACAGCGATGGGTGTGGCCAGAGGCTTGCATGAGTCCATACCTGCCTTACGTAGAAGCTCAGTCATGTATCGTTTCTAGGAGAGGGACCATCAGGCATATCAACGGCTTTAATCCCAAGAAAAAACCTTGGCTTCCCAAGATGACGAATTCAAAACACATCTGAAAGCTTCGTTAGAACACCCTATATCATATCTGGATCATTCCCCATCAGGAGAATATCATCTACATACACAAGCAGGTAAGCACGAGTTTTGCCTTAATCATGAATAAATAATGAGACGTCCGTCTTGGACGGTCGGAAACCAATCTGAAGCAAGTAGTCGTGGAGTCTTGTGAACCAGGCGCGTGGGGCCTGTTTCAAGCCATACAACGATCGTTGCAGCTTACAGACATGCCCCGGATAATTCGGATTAACAAATCTGGGAGGTTGTTTTATGTAAATATCCTCAGTGACATAGCTATTTAAAATGGCGTTATGGACGTCGAGTTGTTGCATGGTCCACCGATTGGAAACTGCATAAGACAGCAAGATTCTGATTATTGACGGCTTCACTACGGGACTGTATGTTTCCACATAGTCCTGACCCAGAATTTGATTGAACCCCTTAGCTACCAAGCGAGCCTTGTAGCGGCTCAATGGAGCCATTAGAATTCCTCTTAATACGGAACACCCATTTGCTCCCTATTATGTTCATCCCGGGTTGGGACAGAACAAGACGCCAAGTCTGGTTGTTAATTAACGCATTAAATTCCATGGCCATGGAATCACGCCATTGTGGTAAGCGAACCGCCTGAGAATGACACGTGGACTCGTCATCATCAACTAACGCAATCAAAGCCGAAGGTTTTCGCCGCTGAGCATCAGTACTGGTCCGTAACCGCATAACATGCATACGGACGATAGGGCATTGTTGGTGTTGACGTCGGCGGCGAGTCGTTGTTGTGGACGAGGTGGACGACTGAAAGGTAGATGAAGCCGCACCCGCTGTGGAAGACGACGTCGGGATGAGCGGTTGAACTTGCTGACCGCCGGACGCATGACCCGTACTTACGTAGGGATGGGTGGTTGAACTCGCTGGCTGTTGCGTTTGCATTTGGATTGGGGCACACGCCCATAGCTGTGTGTCTGCTTGAGTAGAGATAGCCGACGACAATGGCTTAGCAAAAGGGAACACTGTTTCGTTGAAACGAACATGTCGTGCAATGTATATCCGGCCGGAGACCCGATCCAGGCACCTGTATCCACAAAAAGATTCCGGATATCCAAGAAAGACACATGATATAGAACAGTAGTCCATCTTGTGGGTGTTATATGGGCGTAGATTAGGAAAACACTCACACCCAAAGACCCTCAACATTGTATATGCAGGGTGTTGATTATATACTTTATAGTATGGACTTGTACCATCCAAAACAGTGGAAGACATGCGATTTATAAGGAACACGGCTGACTCAAAGGCTATGACCAGTACTTTTTGGGAACATGACCATGTGCTAACAAAGTAAGGCCTGTTTCGACCACATGCCGATTTCGACGCTCCACACGACCATTTTGTTCGTGTGTATGTGGGCATGATTTTCTGTGTTGTATACCTGCGGCTGCAAAAGTCGTACTTAATTTGAGATACTCGACCCCCATATCTGATTGAATACACTTAATCGCAGTGGAGAACTGTTTTTCCACCAGCGACCGAAACCTAGCGAATATTGAATAAATATCTGACTTAAGTTTCATAGGGTAAAGCCACATAAACCTAGAAAAGTCGTCCACGAAGAGCACAAAATACTTATGCCCATCAACAGACGGAACGGGAGAGGGACCCCAAATGTCTGAAAAAATTAAATCTAGAACCGAAGAACTCGACCTTTCTAGTCGTGACAATGGGAAGCGCGCAGACTTGCCCATCTGACACGCAGTACATAATTTATTCAAGGAATGAAATGACCCTACAACTGGACAGGAAGATAAGACTTGTTTTAACACACGGGAGTGTGGGTGCCCAAGACGTTCATGCCATATATCTGGAGACGCTTTGGCGGACAGGAACACAGCTGGTTTGGATAGATTCAACGAGTACATCCCCGCGTGCTAGGACCCCTAAGCAGAGTTTGCTGAGTGGTACGGTCCTTCACAACAAAATAAGTATGGTGAAACTCAAAAAAGACATCATTATCTTGGGTAAATTTTTGTACAGAAAGAAGAAACACACGGAATTGAGGAACATGCAATACTTCATTTAGAAACAGAGACCGAGACTTTGAACTTAACGAAAAAGAACCAGTATTTTGAATGACCAAACCTATTCCATCCCCGAAGTGTAGCGACTCACCCGAGTATGGCTCGACACCGCCTAAGCCATCGACGTTGGGAGTAGCGTGAGCATTGGCCCCGGTGTCTGGCAGCCATACACTAGAGAAGGGGGCAGAGGCGAGATAATTTTGTTGCGGTTGATAGACGACATGTGCCTGAGGTTGATTCACGTGATGGACTGCCGGTTGCGCAGGGGTGGATCACTGGCCGCTGAAGTCCTCAAATCTACGGTAGCAAGTGAGAGCTGTGTGTCCGGGGATGTCACATATTGAATGCCGCCGCGACCGCGTTGCCCTCTACCACGCTGGCTGCGATGGTTTCGTCCACGCCCACGACTGCCGTCGGAGGGACCTCTGTAATTCAACGACGACTGGTGTGCAACCATAGCTACGGCCGGAGGCAGGGCATGCGGGACGGCTTCTTCTGGAAACAAATAGCGATGAGTGTTGAGGAGGCCCGCCACTTCTGGAATGGACAACGGAGCAGCTTTGGTCGTAAGACACGCCACCAGTGACCAGTATTCCGGTCGAAGTCCTCTGAAGATGTGGAGATTCTGCTCATCTAGCCCTATTGGACGGCCAGCCTGCGCAAGCTGTTCGACCAGGACCTGCGCACGACCTAGGTATGCAGAAGGCATGGAATCTCCTTGTTGAAGACTCTGTAATTGAGTAAGCAAACTCAATGTACGAGAGCGTGAAGTGGAGTCCAGGGCCGTCTCCGCCACAACCCAGACGCCTCTGGAGGTGGTATGACCGATCGCCAGGTACAACACTTCTTCTGAGAACGAAGAAAATAGCATACTTAAGATCGATTGATCTTGTTGTGTCCAATCGGCGTGAAGCGGATTCACCGTTGGGGACGCCGACGACGTAGAAGCAGCCAGAAATTCCGGTGGACACGCGTGAGTCCCGTCTACAAACCCGTAAAGGTTCTATCCTCGCAAAAACGACACTAGCTGCGCTCTCCCGAAAAAATAGTTCGTGGCTGTAAGCTTGATGGACACATAATGGTGTGCCTGTTGGAGTGTATTCGGCGGCCGTTGAGTGGAAGGCGCGACCTCGTCAGTCGACGGGGCAACCTCCGTGGTGGTGGCATTAGCGGGAAGATTTGGGTTGTTGGTGGCCATAGGACCGATATTAGTCTGATACCAAGTGAAGTAATATAATCTGTGATTAATGAAGCTAGAGAGATTACACAGGTTTATATAGCTAACCTAAGCACCACAATAGGTGGAGCAGTACAAGACTTTAGCTGAAGAAACTAACAACTCAAAACAAACTTATTTTATCAACTTTAACCATAAATAGCTGCACCAATACATCCTACGGTTCTAATATATCCACATGACCGTACGGGGGACTAAGGCCGTACCTGAATTCTACTCTTTCTCTCTCTCTCTCCATATATATATATATATATATATATATATATATATATATATAACGTAACTTTTTAGATCCTCTCAACTATAGTGACATTATATCTAATATTTTGAACTGAATTTAATTATAAATTTGTAAAAAATAAGGGATAACATGTGGCTAAGTTTATGGTCAATAACTGAAAATGAAAATATATACTATTATATACAAGAGACCAACATGAAATAAACTCTTTTCGAGTTTACAACTTATACTTTTAGTTATGTTAAAATGTAGGAATTGAGAGCGGAGTTAAGCCATTGATTCAACTTCAGGTTGGTTACTTTGTGAAATAATGCTTCCATCCTATAATCCCATTATTCAATCTTTCATACCTCAAACATACATATAGGGTGTGTTTGGTTCGCACATTGGAATTGAAATTGAAATGAGAACAAAATACTTGATAATGGTAATTGGTTTTGGTGAAAGTATTTTGCATGGTATAGTAGGATGGAATCGGAATGACTACTAATATTGATGTTTGGTTATGTATGACCCTGGGAATAAACATTTTTAAAAATATAAAAACAAAAAATCAAGGCAATTGATTTTAATATAATAATGACATCCAAAGTATATATGAAAAAAATATCAAAACAAAAATCTAAAAGCATTAATCCAAACTTTAAAATCATATCACCAAAGAGCAATGTTGCAAAACACGCTAGGCGCCCCCTAGGCGCCAAGGGGGCGCCTAGGCGCCGATTTTTTATTTTTTATTTTTAATTTTTTTAATTTTTTTAATTAAAAAAAATTTAAAATTAAAAATTTAGTACTAAAACATAAGGTTTCCATTGTTATTTCTTAGAAACTATTTATAAAAGTGGTTGTAAAATTGTTCAAAAGATTGTTGAAACCATCTAAATACATAAAAAAACTAAAATTAAGAGCTAAAGAAGCATTTTTTTGAGAAATTAGTGGACCAAACTGCCTTTGGCTATTTGCAGTGTATAGATCTCGAAAAAATACGCGATTTGAAAAAAAAAATTTGTCCAAATCGAACAACGGCAAAAATTATGCCTTCCGAAACTTTTCCGACATTTAAAAAAAAAAAACCGAACCGTCGAACCGGCCGGCCGCGGAGGAGGCCGCCGAGGCCATTCCTCGCGGCGGCCTCCTAGCGCCTAGCGCCTAGGCGCGATTTTTGCAACACTGCCAAAGAGATTGAGTGATATCCGTTTTTAATTAAGGATGAGATTTTCAATTGTAGGGTTAATCAAATCACATAGTTGTGTTTAAAAAATTTTCAACCAAACACTAATTATGATTTTGATTCTCATTTATGGTGTGCAAACTCATGAACCAAACACACCAATAGTTATTATATTATGATCTTCTTTTCCCAAAATATAATAGTTCTTCTATTATTACATATGAATGTGATTTATTTTGTGCTTACTCTCCAATATAGTAGTGACCACAGTTTTTTTTGTTATTATTAATATATATATATACATATATATATATATATATATATATATATATATATATATATATATATATATACTAGTTTTTTACGCGCATTGCGCGATTGGGATAATGCCCAATATTTTTTTTTCTAAATAAGTACTTTAGAGTATATCAAGGCAAGATTAAATTAGAATTATTCATACATAGATAATTGAATGTTGAATTTGCGTATTTAAATAGGTAATTCTAAGTTTACAAATGCAAGATAATATAGTCAAGATTGATTATAATTGTCAATAAAATATTTGTATAGGTATGATTGAAACCAAATACGGGACATAAGGGAGAGCAAATAAAAATTAGGGCATAAAATATTAAATATATGCTAATATTGAAGAGCTAACTGCTGATAACCAAACAAGGATATTGCGAGGTAGTTTCTCACTTTAATTTGTTGTGTGATTTGAATACTCTTTTTGTCAATAAATCCCCAAGTAGTTAATATGATTGACTTAATTATATATTTTTTATTTTATTTTTATTTTTTAAACAATTATTATTATTATTATTATTATTATTATTATTATTATTATTATTATTATTATTATTATTATTGTTATTATTATTATTAAATGTATGTATACCCTTAGGTCATCTTAGATGTTAATCTAAACAACTAATTTTTTCAAATATCTTTTTACCAACCGTTGATATAATTCGCTGGTCAAATCCGCTAACGCTAACCGCTAACTCCTCATTGTCAAACAAGGACATTGCGAGATAGTTATCACTTCAATTTGTTGTGTGATTTGAATACTCTCTTTGTCAACAAATCCCTCAAGTAGTTAATATGATTGACTTTATTAATTTTATTTTATTTTTATTTTTTAATGGTATTAATAAAATACTTGGTAAATAAATATATAACATTATTTTGTATTATAACTTTGATATTTAATTAAAAATATAGTGCACAAAAAAGATAATAGACAATGTAGTGAATATAATCAATTGATGAATTTGAAGGTAAAGAATTTTTACATTGGATAAAAATAAAGACATTATAACTAATAAAATTACTTCTCTTCATTAATTTATTGATAATGAATGATTTTTTTTTTTTAAATAAAGACATTGTAGGGACAATGTAGCGAATATAATCAATTGATGAATTTGAATGTAAAGAATTTTTATATTGGAGAAAAATAAAGACAATATAACTAATGAAATTATTTCTCTTATTTAATTTATTGATAATGAATAATTTTTTTTAATAAAGACATTGTAGACACATAATTCTAAATTAAAGAAATGCATATGTATTATATTTTGTTGTAGCTACTAAATTATTATTTAATTTAATAAGAGTAAAATGGAGTACTAATTATGCCAACTTTGATTGGGATGGGGTTCGAACCTATGACTTTTCTTATTGAAATCAATGAATAAGTTAACGGTGAACTAACATAAATTAACGGAAAAGATAATATTTAACGGAAAAGTTAACGGATAATCATATTCATTCATTAAGGATAAATTAGGAAATCTTAAGGAAAAATTAAAATCTGATCAATCTGAACCATTCATTTGATTAAAAAATTTGACCGCCATTTTTTCTACCCATTATAGGCCTAACTCTCTTGGGCTCTTATTAGTATATATATATATATATATATATGTGTGTGTGTGTGTGTGTGTGTGTGTGTATATATATATATATATATATGTGTGTGTGTGTGTGTGTGTGTGTGTGTATATATATATATATATATATATATATATATATTGTTTATATACATGTACACACGATTGCAGGGATACATACTTGGCAGTCCAAAAACATATCCAACTCAATCTAAGTATAAGGTTCCATTTGCTCATGGAATGGGGCTCATTACCGACCAACTATATGAGGTGCAGACCTAAACTCTCTTCATATATAATTGAAGGAAAATCTCAATCTTAAAATGAGTACAATTTAAAAAGTTTTGGAAATCGAACTAATTGTGATGAATATATTAGGAACGGGTTCGGAGTAAACTGAACCGGAAAGGCGTGGTGCAAGGGGCCAAGAGCGACCCCGGCACGGGCCGACTAAGGCCTCGGCTAGGGGACTCCTGCGGCCCGGCCAAGGTCGACCTCAGCAAGGGTCTACTTCGACCCGTCCTCCACGGTTGGGGCCTACCTCGACCCAGGGGCAGAAGATTGTCCTGGGTCCTCGCGTGGACTCGGTCAAACCGCGATCCAACCGCCCCACGAGAATAGGGTGGGCGGTTGGGAGGTTAGCTAGTATAAAAAGGGGGATCATTGTCTTGTTGAGGACATCTACTACTTTGTCTAAATATCAAATATTCTTTGTAATTCTCCTACGAAAGACTATCAATACGAAAGTTGTCTCCGCGACGCATATTCATTGCCTTTTCCTATCTATTATTTATCGGATTTAGTAATTCGGGTCCACCCCGAATAATTAAATCCATCAAATTGCAATGTGTAAATGAGAATATTGTAGCTCCATTGTCCCCCGTTCAAACTCAAAAAATTTTTACATTCATTTTTCTTGTTGTACTTAATTGGTATAATTGGCACCTTATGATTCTTTTATATATATAGGTATTGCAAATGAATATTTGACATTTACAAGTGTTCTTCTGAAACAGTCACTCAAAGAAAATTGCAAAGGAGATTATATGAATACCAATTCGACTAGTTTACGTTGTCAACAAAATCTTCAAACTTTTAATCAGGTCAGATGTAACCAAATGTAGCTTTATTTAAACTTCAAAATTATTAATATATCCCGCTTGCAATAATCATATTTGTTTCTGCAGTTGATTGAGGGTATAAATTCCAAACATATTTTGGAGCCTATTTGTCTGTCCAATTCTGATTCTACAATGTCATCTCTCATTATGTTGCCTGGACAAAAGTCTCTTTATCATAATTTGTACACAAAACTCAAGATTGATCCATTTTTGGTTTCTGGATTTCAGTGCCGAGTAAGGCATCATCACCAACGCATATTCTCTTACTCTATGAGTTTCAAATTATATATATATATATATATATATATATATATATATATATATATATATATATATATATATATATAGGGACGGAGCCAGAAAATATGTTGAGGGGGGCAAAGAAGTAAGGATGGATTCAATGGCGGATTCAGAAATTTTTTTTAGTGAGGGAAAAAAATTAAAATAAAAGAGAAAGTTAAAAAAAAAAAATGAAATACTTAAAAAGTATAACAATAAATATTGTTGGATATAGAGAAAATAAAACATTTTAAAATTTTATAAAAATATTTATAACAAAATATGAAACATAATTAATTTGATAAAACAATTCGAATATAAAACACATTATAAATTACACATTCCATTATTAATATAAAGAAAGTTATAATGGAAGTTATATATATCATGCCAAAATTTAATTGTGTTAATCACAAAAAGTGAAGAAGACTGTGTCAATGCAAAAATTCGAACCCAGGCCATTCCAAAACTCATACACGTTAGCTACCACATTGTCTATCACAACTTTTGTTTACATAATCTGTTTTATAATACTTATATGAATAATGTACTATATATACATTATATACAATATAGGGTAGGGGTGGGGTGGGGTGAGGGGGGGCAGCTGACCCCCCTGCCCCCCTCTGGCTCCGTTTATATATATATATATATATATATATATATATATATATATATATATATACTAGTTAGTGAATCAAGCTAGGTTATTGTGTTGCATTCTAGGATGAATGGAAAAACCTTTCTGCATATTGGGCCAATGATTATGATGTTCAAATGGCACTTCATATTCGACAGGTATGCATGAATTGGTTAAATTAGTTGGTGATAAAAGAGTCACATATTATGTTCTTGACATATTAACATTATATGCTTGATAAGCGGAAGTTACATCTCTTGTAGGGGACTAAGGAAAAATGGCTACGTTGCGATCTAAGTTTACCATACACGACAACAGTCGATAACACCATACCATATCATGTGAATCTTAGCAAAAAAGGGTATAGATCTCTTATCTACAGGTCAGGCCATTAATTCATTTACGATGATTACAGCATTGTTTTTAGTTACCTTATATACGTATACATAGTATGATAATATATCCTTTATAAAAAATGACTTGTTTGTGTATTATATTTGAAACGGATAGTGGTGATCACGAAATGGTTTGTCCGTATCTTTCAAATGAAGCATGGATAAGGTCGCTAAATTATTCTATTATTGACGATTGGAGGTCATGGATGGTTGAAGGTCAAGTTGCCGGGTAAGTTCATTCGTGTCCATATAAAATTAGAACAAATCAATAGATTAATGAAAAAGGATCTAAATTTGTTTAATGCAAAAAAATACAATAAATTTGAATCTCAAAATATTTCATATGTATATTTAGCTCAATCATTATTGTGTGGATCATATTTTGTATACGATAAAATAATGTATATTCAATACAAAAATAATGTACATTGTATTCAGGGGATGTATATTATTTTTGTACTGAGTGTACATTATATTATATAATGTACATACAGTACAAAAATAATGTACATTTAGTATATTAAAAATTTACTTTTTGTTATGGTTCACATAACAGTGTATGGACCATGGTCCACACAATAATTTGCATATTTAGTTTATCAAGGCCACACATACATTCTTCCAAAAGGAGCTAGACCTTTGCTCACTGCGGAACCCTCCTCACATTCTTCCCCTTCCCCTTTGCCCCTAGACCTTTGCTCACTGCGAAACCCTCCTCACATTCTTCCCCTTCCCCTTTGCCCCTCCTCACATTCTTCCAAAAGGAGCTAGACCTTTGCTCACTGCTGCGAAACCCTCCTCACATTCTTCCCCGGAGCTAGACCTTTGCTCACTGCGAACTGCAGAACCCCCCCTCCCCCCCTCAGTTTGAGAGGTTGCTCCCACACTGCGGCTGGAGAGACTCGATCCCTAGTCATTCTTCCAAACTTTCACCTCTATGACCAGTTGAGCTGCCCATGTGGGTAAAGGCCACACATACATATATATATAAAGTTGTATTGATATAAGAGAAATTAAATTCATACTAGAATTTAAATTTTTAGTTTAGGTTAAAATTCACTCTAATATATACCATTCTAAACTTTTTTCTTTTGGCAATATATAGAAAAAAATTAAGTTGTAACTTTTCAATGACTTGATGATGCCCTCTAGGTATACAATGACATATGCTAACCAGATGACATTCGTCACTGTCAAGGTAGATTATTTGCTATACTTTATTAGTGTTTTATATCTATAATATTTTGTTTTGGAAGCATGATTAAAATAATATAATGTCTGTTGCAACTCTTATGTTACAGAGAGCAGGTCATGTTACACCCGACCATCGTCCTTTTGAATCTCAAGTTATGTTTGAGCGATGGATATCTCATGAAAATATTTAATTTTATATAAAATTAGTAGAAATTAAGTGAGTAAAAGTAGCTTTCAAAAAAGTGAGTAAAAGTACTAAAGTGTGTTGATGTTTTAAGTATTCAATAAGCATCTTTGAAAGTCGATGCCTCTAGTGTTTAATAATTCGACCAAAACTATAATGTTGTCAAGTTATGGACCATATTACATTCTCTTACATTTACTACTTACACACACTCACTCTTTGATATGCAATTTTATGGTGAATTGGAAAAAAATAAAAAATAAAAAACTACACTAGAATAGCCACACATTAGGAAACTGGCTATAAATTGTGTGATATATGTATGGGTAGGAAGCATTTCTGTAGAATACAAACAAATAAGAAAGAAGAGGAAAAATTGATATATTATGTCTTGTGTGTAAACCTCAATACAAGCACTCTATTTATAGTGCCATCAAGATATTGAAAATAAATACAAAGGAGAAAACAAAGAGACATGGGAAAACAAAGTGACAAAAGATGATTAATATCTTGAAAATATCTCAACAACCCTCCCTCCCCACCCCCCTCAAGTTGGAGCATGCGGATTTGAAATGTCCAACTTGCGAAGAAGAAATTCAAATTGCCTTTGCCCAAGAGCCTTTTGTGAAGATATCAGCTAATTGCGAATTGGTAGGAATGTAGGAAGGGAAAATCAAACCATCTTTAATTGCATCTCGAACAAAATGACAATCCACTTCAATGTGTTTTGTTCGTTCATGAAAAACCGGATTCTTTGAAATATGAAGAGCCGATTAACTGCCACAAAACAATTTTATAGTTTTGAGATGATGAATCCCCAGACTTAACAACAAGCCCTTTAACCATTTGAGTTCCCAAGTAACGGCCACCATAGATCTGTATTCCGCTTCTGCGGAAGAACGAGAAACAGTATTTTGTTTCTTTGTTTGCCACGAGATTGGAGAATGGCCAAGAAATACCAACCAACCAGTAGGAGATCGCCGAGTAGTAGGACATGCGGCTCAATCCGAATCACACCATCCCTGTAGCGTTAGATCACTATCTACTCGTAGGAGAATCCCTTGACCCGGGGTACCTTTCAAATAACGGACAACTCTCAAAGCTGCCTCCCAGTGCTCATCATGCGGTTCCTGCATGAATTGAGATAACACATGAACAGAGTATGCGAGATCATATCGGGTTACGACCAAGTAGATAAGTCTTCCGACAAGACGCAGATATGCTGCAGGATTAGAGAAAATTGGGCCACTAGCTAGGCTGAGTTTGTGGTTTTGCTCAATAAGAACACTAACCAGCTTGGCCCCTAACAATCCTGCTTCAGAAATAATATCAAGAGTATATTTTCTTTGACACAAAAATAGTCCAGAAACGCTACGAGCAACCTCAATACCAAGAAAGTACTTTAGAGAGCCGAGATCTTTCATATGAAAACAATCACTAAGATAAGCTTTAAATGTCTTTAGAGCAACAGAATCATTCCCATAAATGATGAGATCATCAACATAAGCAATTACATTTATTTGAATTCCACCTCGAGCGAAGGTGAATAAGGAGTAGTCGGAATAGGATTGTAAGAAACCATACACTTTCAAGGCCGTAACAAGTTTTGAAAACCAACACCTTGGTGCCTACTTTAATCCATACAAGGACTTGCGCAATCGACATACTTATTTAGGATCGGATGCCTCAAAACATGGGGGAAGCTTCATATACACCTCTTCATCGAGATCACCGTGCAGAAAAGCATTATGAATATCCGTCTGATGTAGTTCCCAATTTTTAGAGGCTGCAATGGCAAGAAGCGCACGAACAGTAGTCATTTTGGCAACAGGAGCAAAAGTTTCAGTGTAATCGACGCCTTCTTCCTGATGATTACCAAGAGCCACTAATCTTGATTTGAGTCTTTCAACCGACCCATTTGAGTTATATTTGATTCGATACACCCAATGACTCCCTAGAGCCTTTTTCCCAGGTGGGAGATGCTCAAGAGTCCAAGTTTGATTGTCTTTCAAGGTTCGAATTTCATTTTTCATAGATTCTTTCCAACCACTGTGTGTCATTGCCTCCTTAAAAGATTTTGGTTCCTTTTCAGAAAGAATAGCTACCAGAAAAGTTCTGTATGGCAAAGAAAAATGGTCACAATTTATGTAATGTGTTAAAGGGTAGGGAATACCTGAGGGTGACTGTGGAGACGGTGTGAGAGGATGGACTTTTAGCAACAGTAGAATTAATAACAAAGTCGTGCAACCACACTGAAGGAACTTTATTTCTCATACCCCGACCCATCTCAACATTCTGATCCTGGTTATTTGGAACAAGATTACTAGTGTGTTGTTAAGGTTGTGAGCTGAACTCGGGTATGGAGTTCGACTTTGGTTGAGAGGCTGGCTCGGGTGTGGAGCTTGGCTCAGGTTGAGGGTTTGGCTCGTTTGTGGAGGTGGGCTCAACTTCTTCAATAATTACAGAAAAATCTTCGTGAACAGATTCTCCTTGAGGATTGGTAGTTGTATCTGTGAGAGGAAATGGAAAAATATCCTCAAAAAATTTCACATCATGGAAAACAAAAAATTCTTTGGTGTCAAGATCAAACAGCTTCCAACCCTTTTCCCAAATGGATATCCCATAAAGATGCACTTTCGACTCTTGCTAGCAAATTTATCACCTTTTGCATTTTGATTGTGAGCAAAGTAGAGACACCCAAAAACACGAATTGTGTTGTAGATGGAGGACTACGAAAAAGAATTTCATAGGGAGTTTTGTTATCAAGCAACGGTGTTGGTGTCTGATTTATCAGATGTGTGGCCGCAAGAACACATTCTCCCTAAAAATATATTGGCAAATTAGCTTGGAATCTCAAAGCTCTCGCTACATTGAGAATATGTTTATGTTTCCGCTCAACCCTACCATTTTGTTGAGGAGTTCCCACACAGGAAGTTTGAAAAACAATTCCAGTATCAGAAAAAAAAAATCACGCAAGCAATTGAATTCAGTACCATTGTCACTCTGAACGACTTTGATTGATTGAGAGAATTGTCTATCAATCATAGCCACAAAACACAAAAACATTTTGAGAACCTCAGTTTTATCCATCAACAAATAAATCCAAACTGCTCGCGAATAATCATCGATTATAGTCAAGAAATAACGTGCACCACAAAAGGATTGATGTTTGTAAAGACCCCACAAATCACAATGTATTTTCTCAAATATTCGAGATGCTCTATTATTACTCAAAGGAAACTTATCTCTAGGTTGCTTAGCACGAAACCAAACCTCACAAGCTTTATTAAAACTTCCCACATCAGTGACAATAGACGGAAGTAGTTTTACCACTTTTTCAAATGGATGACCCATTCATTGATGCTAAAGATTGATTGAAGTTGTCACCCCATTTATTGTAAGATGTTGTACTGAATCGATTCCCTTGAAGTAGTAAAGTCCATCCCGTCTAACACCCGTTCCAATCAGTTCCCCCGATTGGTCCTGTATAGCACACATATAAGAGTTAAAGTGGACATTGCTCTGCATATCATCAGTTAACTGAGAAACAGAAATAAGATTGCAACTTAAAGACGGAACATAAAGAACATGATTAAGAACAATTTTTCTGTTAACCGAACCGAGCCTTCTCGAGTTGCAACCATTGTTTTTCCGTTGGGTAAACCAACATGGCAATGAAATATATCATTTGCATCAGTCATTCGAGTGGAATCACCAGTAACGTGATGAGAAACCCTTGTGTCAATTATCCACAACCATGGATCAAATTTACGATTCAATCGATCATAAAAAATCGTTGTACCACTAATCAGCCCTGTTATAATGCCTGCGACTGCTCGTTGTCGACCATTGACGAGTTTATGCGCAGGTATAAACCTTAGCGACTGATACCATGTAGAATACAAACAAATAAGAAGAAGAGAAAAAACTGATATATTATGTCTTGTGTATAAACCTCAATACAAGCACTCTATTTATAGTGCCATCAAGATATTGAAAATAAATACAAAGGAGAAAACAAAGAGACATGGGAAAACAAAGAGATGGAAAACAAAGAGACACAAGATGATTAATATAGATGTTTAATATCTTGGAAATATCTCAACAATTTCCCTATATGAAAATTGGTGTGTTGCTTCATATTTGTTTCTTTTTCTCTTTGATTTACGAAAAATTTCATAGCCGCTACCCAACAGTATGCTTGGGGTAAAATTAATTTTGTGATCTAATCTGACATTGGACCCAATCGAGAAGACCAATATGCAACTTTTACAAGGAGTCAAAATTAAAATCTTGTAATTATTAAGTGAAGTGTCTGATCAAGTCGACTAGAGTTGCTCTTATTAAGGGTCGTTTATCAACTTATAAAAATAGAAATTTTTTCAAAAAAATGGAGAAATTGAGAAATGAAAAAAATAAAAATTGAAAAAATTGTTTATTAAATTTCTTCTTCTAAATGCATACTCTTTTTCATTCTCCAACTTCATGTACAATGTGGAGAAGTCTATTTCAAATCTCTCCAAATAGAAGAATGGATCGGAGAAAATTGCGGGTGAATAGTGCTATGTATGTGGGAGGTTGATGTGTTGAATCCTGTTAGGTGCGCTTAAAGCGTGCTTTTCTGCTTTAGCTTTTTTTACAGCTTCTTTTATAATAATAATATTATTATTAACATGTTAACAGATTTACTATTATTATTATTTTTTTTTTTGAAACACACAGATTTACTATTATTATTATTATTATTATTATTATTATTATTATTATTATTATTATTATTATTATTTATTCATATTATCTTTGCTATAGAAAGGTACAAATGCTAATTGAGATGATTGTATTTAATAAATCAGAAAATTAGAGAAATGAAAAACGAAAGGAATGGAGAGTGAAAAATTAGAAAAGTGAAGAAATGAAAAACTGGCGGAGGGATGGAGAAGAAAAACTGGAAACGGAAAAACAGAAAAATGAAGTAAACGACCCATTAATCTCCCTCAATAGTAGTGAAACTAAATTAGTGTGATGATATCCTAATTACCATTCTAAATGAATGGTCATAGGTGATGAAGATTTAGATTCTTTGAGCTGATAATGTTTAAGAAGTATAGAACATGTACTTGTAAAATATCATAAATATTTCAAAAGAAATATTTATTCA